GCGTGTGTGTCAGACCTGTCCGCCTTGGGTGGCCCTACCAGGAACGAAGTTCCGGGCGGCATAGCTCTGACACTACCGTTTACACCCCCCCACCGACTTGAAATGAATTTTGAGTTGAAAATGAATTTTATCGAGAGATAATAATGAAAGAATAGTGCAAAAATATTTAAGTAAAGATTACTATTAATATTTATGCTCATGCCTGTGGATCAATCTTGGTATCGTGTAAAAAGAATATCTTATGTAAATAGTGATGTATTAAACTTTATATAGATTCTTTTAAATTCTCTTTATATAAATCGATTGATGTAAATGCGTTGCAAGCATATCTTTGTGGGCCCATACAATTTCTATGAATATATGAAAAGAAATACATCATAAAATTCACACTTTCTTGATTTTTGTTAATCAACCCAATCGTCTTTCAATAAAGTTACTAAAGGCTGATAAAAGGTCAAAGTCAACATTAGACGATAGATTTATTTCTCAGTTAAGATTTCATAATTCATTTAGCTAGCATAACTTTGGAAGTTCTTTTAAGAAACTTCAAATAACCATTTACGTTTTTCGCTTAATCATTATTTCTTTTGCTTCGGAAATATTTACATCCGTTTCTCTCTTTTTTTGTTTCTCATTAATTAACAGAATAAATCTATTCAAATAGATCGGAGTTGAAGAACAGCCGACGAAAAATGTAGTGGTATTCAATGATATTCTTGCCAAATATGGTTTCCATAATGTAAATGCAGGCACATTTTATATAGAATATATTAATATACTTTTGAAACCATTTGCCTTCGTATAAACGTATGCAATATGTACTTATTGAAAAAAAAAATTCAATATATATATATAGATAGACAGATAGATAGATAGATAGATACAGTGGATGTAGATTATATATATATATATATATATATATATATATATATATATATATATATATATATATATATATAGATAGATAGATAGATAGATAGATAGATATGAAGGGATGATATATATATATATATATATATATATATATATCTTATTATAAAACGCAGATTTTTTTGTGTGTGTGTGTGTGTGTGTGTACGTTTATATATTGGATTGGATTTCCTACATTTTTCAACCGATTTAAACAAAACTTCACAGGACTACATAAAATTACCTTGTGGTGGTTCTAACAGCGCCAAATATTGGAAAAAACACAATTGTTTTTGCACGAAATCAATTTGAAAGCACGGTTAAGTGTATCGCACCCGGCCGAAAGTTACTGCCGGCTACTCAAATGTCCGAATGCCGTTAACTTCTGGTGATTCAGCGTTTTTTTTTCAGAGAGAGAACAATACACAAAAAGTAAACATAACTAAAAATAATAACCGTAAACTACTTTAAATACACATGGTGTCCAAATTTTTTTACTGTATTCAGTAAGTAAAAATCATAAATTGTAAAAGATTACAGAAAGGCTACTAAATGAATAAGATTTGTTAGATCATCTTACTTATTATAAAACGCAGATTGTGTGTGTGTTTGTGTGTGTGTGTGTGTGTACGTTTATATATTGGATTGGATTTCCTACATTTTTCAACCGATTTCAATAAAACTTCACAGGACTACATAAAATTACCTTGCGGTGGTTCTAACAGTGCCAAATATTGGATAAACAATTGTTTTTGCACGAAATCAATTTGAAAACACGATTAAGAGGCATCACGAGAATGAAAGGGGGACAACTCATATCGAGTTATACTTAATATAAAACACATGTTGTGTGTGTGTGTGTGCGCGCGTGTGTGTGTTCATTTATATATGGGATCGGATTTTCTACATTTTTCAACCGATTTCAACAAAACTTCACTTTTTCTTTGGCAGGTAGTGTTTCTTATTGTCTTGCACACTTTTTTCTGTATTTTTACATACAGAATGCTTTAAAAATTCCATTTACGAGACAATTGTTTATAATAAAATTCTATTTAATCGGTAGATCCATAACAATTGAAAACAATGTTTTTGTTTGAGTTTGGGTTTGACCAATTCGTAAAAAAAAACAAAAAACAAAAAAAAAAACTAATTAAGACATGCGTGTCCATCAACCTTAAAGAATAATCTTTGTCAATTTCATTTTTTCAGTCTTTATGATGGTCGATACTTGATCTATCTCTTACTGTTACATCCCCGGGCAAAGCCGGGCTCTACTACTAGTATATATATATATATATATATATATATATATATATATATATATATAAAGAGAGAGACAGGCAGACAGACAGAAAGGCAGACATGAACAGGTTGTATACTTAGATAGAAAGAGAAGGAAACAGTTATGAAAAACAAATTGAGACAGATACGAACAGACTATGATAAATTAAAAATTAGCGATAGAGTAGGTAAACTTGCTGAAAACGAATGTTACATAACTCTTAAGGACCACAAACAAGATTTTATGGAAAACCCTACTGCAAGAATAATTAACCCTACCCGACCCGACATCGGTAAGTTAAGCAAAAGAATCCTAGAAAGAATTACTTGTCAAATTAAAAACCACCTTGGATTAAAATTATGGATTAATACCAAAGATGTCATCAATTGATTTACCAGTATTAATAATAAACCTGATTGCACCCTATTACAGTACGATATTGTGGATTACTACCCGTCAATATCGAAGGATCTGTTCACGACTTGCCCTGGAGTTTGCTGCTGTGTATTCTGACCTGACAAAGGAAGAAATAAATATAATTCTCAATGTAAAAAAAATCTGTCCTCATTCATAATGGGGACCAATGGATTAAAAACAATAATGACCATTTTGACATCACTATGGGATCTTTAGACTCTGCAGAGTCTTCTGACCTTGTCGGTCTTTTAATACTGTACAACCTGACCGGGCACCGTGAATTAAATATTTAGGACATCGGGCTGTACAAAGATGACGGGCTCATGGTAGTGAGGAGTTACACTAATTTTAAAATAGAGAAAATTAGAAAGATTATATATAGTGAATTTAGAAATCTAAATTTTAATACAACAGTCTGTACTAAATTAAAAAGGGTAAAGTTCCTCCGACGTAACTCTAGATTTAACTAACAACACATATCTACCTTATAGAAAACCTAATACTAACCCCTTGTATATACACCCTAAGTCAAACCACCCTCCATCCATAATTAAGCATATATCCTCATCAATAGAGAATAGAATCAGCATTAACTCCGCTAATAAAGAAATATTCCAACAACACAGTAATTTTTATAATGCAGCCCTAAAAAATAGTGGATATAAAAATGCTTACATCAATTATAGAAACAACTGCACTAACCAAAAGAAAAACAGGAAAAGAAAAATCATTTGGTATACCTCTCCGTTGAACCAAATGGTTAGTATTAAGCTAGGACATAAATTCCTAGCTTTAATTGAAAAACACTTTCCTACTAATATTAGACTTAGTAACATATTTAATAAAAACACCCTAAAATTAAGTTACAGTTGCACTGAAAATCTAGAAAGTATAATAAAAAAAAAACAATAGTAAAATCCTGAATAAACCCCCATGCCAGAATAGTATTAATAAAAACCCTACACTTAAATTAGACAAAAATAGTGAAAAATTATGTGATTGTAGAAACCCAGAAGACTACCCATTGGAAAATATATGCCGCGTAAAATCTGTGGTATACCAATGTACTATCCCATCCACTGAGAGTCCTAATACTAATATTGGGTCTACGAAGAATGAATTTAAAACCAAATGGAGGCAGCATAAGTGCTCCTTCAACAATATTAATAAAAGAAATCAGACATCTCTATCTAAATATTTTTAGCATTTGAAGGGAATGAATAAAACACCAAAAGTAAAATGGAAAATTATAAACAAAACTAGAACTTGTAAAACTTGGGATGAACAATGCCCTTTATGCCTACATGAAAAACTACACATTATCAAGTTTCTAAATAATAAAAATTTATTAAACAGTAGACATGAATTAGCGGTTTTTGCCGACATCATCAAATTGTCGCATTGAATAATTAGAATAAAAAACAAACAAACAATAAAATAATAAATACAAATTTTAAACTCCATAGTCTAAATAAAATGTTTAAATGCCCTACCCAATATATATTAAAAAAAATAAATAAAATAAAAACCTTTATGAAGTCGCCAAAAAAACAAATGTTAGCGAATTATGACAGTTTGTTTTATATACACAAAACCCTTTCAGGAAAAAACAAAAAAATAATATAAAAAAATAAATAAATCTCCATAGAAACTTAACCAGACTAGACGATGTCATCTTCCGCTTTGAATTTAGACACCCCAACCTTACCCTGATTTCACGTATATGAATGTAACTGAACTATTGATAAAAAATATTAACCCTTACGCCCCATTTTTTTTAATAATTGCTCTAGCCGTTACCATAGTAATTTTAATTTTAATAATGAATAAGCTTATAGAACGCATAAATTTCAGGAATTAGTTATTCCAAAAAAAATTTCGCTTGACGATGGAACAGAGCTTGGTACGTTCATTCAATTTAATTCAAATAATTATATTGAAGTTTTCGGCTCTAGTTTTGAAACATGAGAACTCTTATGTAGCGATGGAATAATATTTTTAAATAAATAATTATATTTAGGCTCTACTTTTGTATTGAGCACTGTTTTTTTTAAATAATAACAAAAATACTAAAGAACTTTCGATTTTTTACCTAACGAGTTCTTTCCTATTTTCTACATGTTTTTACACACACACACACACACATATATAGATAGATAGACAGATAGATAGAATAAGTGATTGATCGATTCGTTTTCTACGGCTTTTGTTTTTAAAGATAATAACGGTTTAATGATACAAGTTTTACTAATTGATACATAGCCGAGGAGAAGAGGAGGATTCATACCTTTTCCAAGAATATTTGCACGTAACGAACCAACGGAAACTGGAACTCGGCTCTCCGATTAACAATTCTATGACATTATCCATTATTCCACCTGCACACTCAAACCTACAGCACCTGGTAATCTCAAGCAGTTTCCCATCTAGGTACTAACCAGAATCTACTTTGCTTAACTTCGGTGATCGTATGGAAACGGATGTTTCAACGTAATGTGGCAGCATTGCCTAGGATAATGTGAGATCGGGTATCATACTTCTTAGGGACTTCCCAAATAAATGTAGTCGTAGTTCAAATAGATCTTTTCATGTGTTGTAAAAAAAAAAGAAACGCCTCCAGGCTATGAAAGAAGGATTTAAAAAAATTAATTCGTTATAGTAAGAATCACGAGTTTGGATTCGACGATAGGAAAACTTAAAATAATAACTGAATATATTAACCATTTCCTCAACTTTTAATGAAACTTCTACGTGATATCGACTCCAACATTGATAGACGACCCCTCCTCGGCGCGTGTATACATGTTATCTGTGCAGTTGCCAATCAGGGCCCGTTTTGAGCAAAGGTGACGTACCTAGTTTAATAACTTGGCATATGCTCTATTTGCGCACCAAATCAATTTCGGAGAGGCATAACTGCTACTTGGTTCAACCTACACCCGTCTGTTATTTGAAATAGTATCCTTCGATACGTTCAACGGGGGTAGACATGCTTCTGATCTGGGAACCTAGATTATGTGAATAATGGATTTGAAGAATGCTACACATCCGTTATCCGTTATTGATTTAAAAATTCGTAGGTCAAAGATTATCAAAGCTCGATTCGTCAGTATTGGAACTAACTTCTAAAATATCAGTCAGGTCGTGAAATTTGGCACAATTGAGAGAAAGAAAGAAAGAAAGAGGATGCGTACAGAAATAATAAATATACAACCTGGAAAACTACTTCAATTTTCAATGAAATAACTAGAATAATTCGTACCGTAACTTCTCGAAAATAATACGCATTTTTTTTACTGTAAATTACAGGTGATAACAGGTGTGCGTATTTTAGATAGGTGTAAACAAAAATATTTTTTCGTTATCTCTATCTATAAAAGGCAGGATCTGTGTGTGTGTGTGTGTGTGTGTGTGTGTGTGTGTGTGTGTGTAACGAATGCACGGCTGCAATTTTCGACGGATTTGCACCAAAATTTACATGCACAGGCTCCAAGTTAGCGGGAAGGCCAAGACAGACTTGGCATTTCCCAACTCCCATCGATAGTGGAAGTAATCGATTTTTTCATGCTTCTACGGCACTTTTCATGTAGATTGCGGTCATTTTGTACTGGCCAGAGTGAGAGTCTATAGCATGGCTGCCACGAATAGGCAGGGAGATTCTACTGACCAGCGTAAGAGCCAAAACTGACTGACACGAATGTTAACTAGCATGCTAGCATGCCAAAAAAATCGATAGCTGCATTCGTCACAAGTGGGAAAAAATTAAATCTGCACGGCACTTTACTCCAATTGGCTTTTTTCTTAGCTGAATAACAACACGCTGAAAAATCAAAAGCTTATCTTCGTAGTCATCAGGCAAACGCTGAGATATGGATGTTCTTCTCCTAATAGATATATCAAACCTCTTCATAAAATGAAAACACCAGTTTGCTGAAGCTTTAAATGTGTTTCCAGGATGCATGATTTTCATAAGTTGTTTTGCTTTCATCTTTATTTCCATAGTACTTATGGAACATCCCCTTGATCATCTTTCTTTCACAAATTCAGTTAAACTTTTTTCCATATCTGGATATTGAGCTTTTCTTTCTCTACCTATAGATTTGTCACTTGATTTTCACATTTTCAGTTCATTTTTAGTCTTTCTCCATAAACGTATTAAATTTAAATCATATCTCTAACTGCAGCTCTGTTTCCTATTCTTTCTGTTAATTCTATTACTTTTTGTTTAAAATTTGCTCTATAACACGCAGGTTTTGACGACATTTTTGCGGTAAAATATAATGTTATATTTATCGTGATAACCGCTGGTAATTTTCAACATTATTTTACCCGCTTAGTTTCGATTTTATTGTTAATGTCAAGGTCGACAAAATGTCTTCGTAATAATTCTTTGTTTTTTGTTGTTTTTTTGACAAAATTTATAGATGCGTATTATACATAGGGATAAACATATTTCTTAATTTTTTTGATCATTTATTGGAGAGCGTATTATATATGGGTGCGTATTATTTTCGAGAAATTACGGTATTTTTCTCGGAAGCTAATACCTGATCAATTCCGTATACGAATTTATTTTTAAATCTTAATTTTGATTTAAAATTTTTATTTATTTTAATCTTAATTTTCAACTTTTATTTAAATTTTTAATGCATTTTTTAATTGTTATTTATAATGCTAATTATGGACTATTTTAATATATCACTATTAAATATATATTGATGTTTTAATAAGTACAAATAATCTCCCTTTAATTATAGAACTTAAAAAAATAAAATATGAATATTCCTAACTCAGCGCCTAGACATTGCGTCGTGCATGAAACTCAGAATCGTGCTAGCGGTGAAGGATAATATGCATATATATATATATATATATATATATATATATATATATATATATATATATATATATATATATATGTGTGTGTGTGTGTGTGTGTGTGTGTGTGTATATATATATATGTGTGTGTGTGTGTGTGTGTGTGTGTGTGTATATATATATATATATATGTGTGTGTGTGTGTGTATGTGTGTGTGTGTGTGTGTGTGTGTGTGTGTTCTTAATAAAATACAAAAATCATCGTCATGTCTACTGACAGATTCCAACTTAACCCACGTAGATATAGTAGACCCATATCAATGACTGTGGGTGCGCGTCTACATATATGTGTGTGTAAGTGCGTGTGAGTATGTCTGCCGGTGCAAAGAGCTGATGTAGAAAATGTCAAAGCCACCCCCACCTGTCCCCTACTAAGAGAACGTTGCTAAATTTAAGAAAAACTACGATCTTGACATCGAAGTAGACAGAATTAATATTACCACCAAACCCAAATAAAACATAACTAGATCGACTTTTGAAAAAAAATAAACCAGTTTGTGCTAAGATCGTGAAGGCGTGAAACCTACGTTCACAAACAACTCTCCATGCAACAAAATGTGTTAGCTCTATCACGGATATTGTGCACTTTCAATATATATATATATATATATATATATATATATATATATATATATATATATATATACACACATACATACGTGTGTGTGTGTGTGTGTGTAATTGACAAAATATAATTTAAAGAATATATAGACATCTTTCTGCGTTCATTCAAAATTGTTCACGTGAGAAAACAGGTGGCTTCAATGATAACTTCAATATTTACACATAGGGAATAACTCAATAATAAGTAATAATTACAACAAATAATACATTTCTGTCCAATATTCTGAGAATTATATTTAACCTGGTTTCTTTTGAAACGTTCAAATTAAACTTTTTTCTGGGGTTCCCTATCACATATTTCTGTTTTGCACAAAGCAAAGTCACATTACGATTTTAGCTAATGTTGTTTTTCTTCAGCAGATATTCGTGTAATATATACGAATTGGTGTCGAAAACTTACCGAACAGAACATGCTGTGATTGTAACACTAAATGCGTATGCGTACAAAGCTCTTTGGTATTGAAACAATTAGTTCTGTCTGCTAATAATCTTCGATATCCGTATGGTTATTTATTACGCGTCTGTTGGAACGGCTCTGTGATCTTTACGAAGGCTGATCATTTGGAATAATGTTGCTGCAAGAAATTTTGCGTCAAGCTTAGCAAACCTTATAAGAAAAGTCTTCCAGATGAGTCATCTAGGTGTATTTCTTTTCCAAAGTCCAGTAATTATTTTTTGACGTAAGTTCATATCAAAGCCAGACGTGTGGTGGTTCAAAATAGCAAGCGTTCAGGCGACTAATCATCAGCAAAACCCCTGAAAATGCAAAATAAATAATCAACTATCCCATTACGACCATAGCCAGACAATTCATCAAATTTATCACATTAGTGGAATAATTTATGGGGTATGATTGAAATGCTGCACAATTTACATTCGATACATCATCGTGAACATATATATATATATATATATATATATATATATATATATATATATATATATATATGAAGAAATATAGTCTTAAGGTGTGCTATATTTATGGGATAAAGTGCTCAATATCAGTCTGTTTCATGCTATATGCAATCGTCAGGCCACCTGACGATTGCATATAGCATGAAACAGACTGTCGCCTCTAAGTGTTAACTTTTATGTTCACTTTTTATATATATATATATATATATATATATATATATATATATATATATATATATATATCGAGAGAGAGAGGAGATGTAGAAATCAGGTAATATATGTGGGCGATTACGTATACAGACAGGTGAGTAAATAACTATTTATTTAATCAATACAATGTAGTTAAACCGACTTATGAATTACGATTACGTACACATAGAAATATTTTTGGGGTTGTAAACAAAACAGTAATCAGTGTAGTTAAACAGAGCTATAAAGTATATATTAATAATTACACATGTACCTACATTTACAGTACGACTTAGTTTTATGGCTTTATTATTCATTAGAAACTGAGTTATGAACTGTACAATACAGTTGCTTTTTATTTTAATTCTGGGTCTCACGAAAGCAATGCTACAGTGTATGTGGATTCATATCTCAAGATTATTATAAATTTAATATGCTATCAGGGTATAAATTCTAAATATAGAGTGTTGCCAGATAGATATAAAAAATAATCTAATGTATTAAGAAGTTTAATAGGGATATTGATCCGTTAACGTATATTGAGACAACGGAATAGATTATTTTAATACGAACTGAACAAAGCTGGTATTTGTCGAATAAAAAGCGTGGGTAGACAAAAAACAATATAAGCTATGGAAAAGTAAAAAAAAAATAAATAAATAAAAATAATAAAACAAATTAAAAAATAAAATTGGAACGCAGGATAATGATAACCATTAAACGCTAGGACGTTGCAAGGGAGGTAACTGAATCTGAAAAAAGGTCGTGGGGATATTAAAGCAGATGTTAGGCTCTATGAATGCATAATCTCACTATGCTTGTTCAGCAGATTATAATTATCGGTGTATCAGAGAATTAGTTCATCTTTTTAAAGCGGCACGGAGTAC